TGTGCCCAGAATCCTTGACATGTGACTTCTGCAGATTCTCGCTGGGTGCCTCGCGGATGGGGCTTGGGAGGTGAGCCTGAGGGACAGCAGGCTAGAGAACCACTGCCTTAGAAACGTGTCCCAGGGGAGTGGGGTGGGGACAGCATAGGCCCGAAGCACAGCCTTTCTCAATAATCCCTCGAATATTGATTGACTTGATGATCTGGGCAATCAGGGTTCGGTATCTAGTCTTACAGCTTTAGCTGATAGGCCTATAAACCTTTTTCGACCAGCAGGACCCCTTTTTCTCCTGAGATCCCAGCTGTGAAGGAAAGTATAGACTCCATCTGTGAAGGAAAGTGTAGCTGGCCGTGTATCTCCTTGGCTGTCCTGCTTCAGGACGTGACAGCATCTTCCAGCCCTTCTTACTCATTAATGTCGTGGATTCCTGGAAAGAAAAACTGGACAGAAGCTGTTAGAGCACTTGTGAGATTTTGTCGATCTCACCCTTTATCAGAGAACTTCTAGCATGATAGAAACCAAAGCTGACTTTCCCCAGAGGGACATTTAAAATGTTTTCAACTAGTTTGATCTCATCTTTATTGTGTACAGTAAGTTTTAGGAACATCGAATTATGGTAGTAATGTTGGGATTAAATTTTTATTGCTGAGGCTTTGAAGCACAAACACAATTTTAAAAGCTTGTTAGTAATTGAAAGTTGTAATCCTGAGCACACATTTTACTGCTATAATAACTATAAAACATAGTGATAAGTATAGCAAATATTACACAAGAATTTGGGGAAATATTTTCACCCTCATTTGTTTATTAAACTCTGTAGAAAGTATTCTTGAGTGTGTAGTCGTCTTCGATAAATGGGTTATCATTAAGACTAAAAGACACACAAAAATACTCTGGTATTAGTTTAAAATGGCAATAAAACTCTTAGTTTTTGCAAGTTCAGCTGTAAAATACAAAGATGAGAAATAATTTCATCACTCAGGAAGATATAATTTATGCAGCCTTATTGGTGGGAAGACTAGTTCGTTTATTTGTTGGTCTATTCACTTATGTAACACAAACAGTGCTATAATGTGCCAGGCTCTGTCAGTTGGTAAGGATGTGTAGATGGGCTTGTCATCAAGTATCTTTTATCGTGTGTTGGACTGCCTTGAAATAGTGACTCCAATGGCTGCTTGAGTTGAAAATGAACTTTTTTCTTTCATATTGGGAAAGAAAAAACTGCCTACTTTGGTGGCTGCCTAGAGAGTACCAAGGTTTTGATAGCCTTGTATTCCATTTTCATTTTAAGGCAGAAGGTATGGAAAGGCAGATTTTAAATTATTTTTAGTGTGGGAGTTGCTTCCAGAGCAGTGACATCAGCAAGTGTTAAGGGTGGCTGGGATATGATTTAACATGACAGCTGCCCAGAGGTGCATCCCTGCTAAGCGTGCTCAAAAGCAGCAGGTCAGACAGAGATGCTTGTTGGCCGGCAGGTCCATGGTGGTTCTTTAGAGGCAATGTAGCATGGTAGCTAGGAGCCATCGGTTCTGGAACCAGACTGTGGGTATGGACCCCGGGTCTGCAATCACCTGGAGCAAATTTCTTAACCTCCCTGTGCTGTAGTTTACTCGTCTGTAAAATGAGGTTGGGAACAACAGTGCATGCGTCGTACTGCGTGGGCAGGGCCAGATGAGTTAATCCATGAGAAGTGCTTAGGACGGTAGCTGACATGTAGAAAGAGCTCAAAGTGGGGGTGACAGAGTGATAGCAGTTGTCAGTGGTGGTATCGGAGTGGTATCTGTGATGGTGAACGTCAGTATCCTCCCTCCTCCTCATCAAGCCACCTATTTATACCATGTCAGAGTCACAGAAGGTCAGTCTCTGCTGGGTGGGGTCAACAAGAGATAGGTCACACTTGCTGGTGCACTATATATTCAGAATTGAGGAATGTTTTCCTAATGCTGATGTGACCGTTGTGTACTCTACCTAAGGTGTGCCCACCAATACCTGTGGGTTGCGGACTCTGTTCAGTAGTGCTGTCGACTTTTAACATTGTTGCAAAGGGTTAGCAGCCCTTGAGACACCGTCAGCATGGGTTAGGTGTCTGGGCACGGGCATTTCCTGTTGTTGTATTTGTAGCAATGCTTCCAGTGCCTCAGTGAAGGGAAGTCACACGTAATACAAGGTCAGTGAGTGGCTTCTTGCACTTCCATTCCTTGTCCCATAACCCCTCTGTCTGAGTTCTCCCTTGATATCTCCACAGAGGGGGCATCTGGGAAGCCAAGGGTTGAGAGAATGTGCCTAATTCAGTGGTTCTCAAATGGGGGAAATTGTGCCCCCCTCCAAGGAACTTTGGCAATGTCTGCAGACATTTTTAGTTGTCACCATGGGGCTAGAGGCCAGGAATGCTACCAGACGCCCTACAATGCACAGGATAACCCCCTACAACAAATAATCATCTGGCCCAAAAACATGTTAATAGACTTGAAGTTGAGAAACCCTGAGTTAACCCAAATACAGCCAGGCTTCTGTGTCTGACTAACTAGTGGGTAATAGTTACATGCCGTTTTTTACACAGAGACTGCCGGCTGGCAATACAGGCTCCAGGTAAAGAGTTGGAGGTGAGGGAGATTGATATCCTTTGTCTGAGGAGTGATTTCTCTATATTGAACAGAGCCACCTCTCTGTGGCACCGTGGCCCCCATCTGTGTGGCTGGCCTCTGGCAATTTTCAGAACTCTAGAGAACCAGGCAATGATTCAGTGTAAGAGCAGAGCTGGTGGCTGACTCCCGCTGTCATGCTAGCTAATGATGTGCCAGGGACAGACTGAGTCATGCCGACCGTGGGACTGCAGCCCCCGGAAGAGAGTGATTTCATGACTCTGGATAAAGGGATAAAGCCCTGCATTACCCAAGGGGTGATTTCTTTTGGAAGGATGGGAGCCTATTCCAGAGGATGATATATATATATATTTAACAGGTAGTTATGTATTATTGCCTATTATGTGCCAAGCAGTGTTTGAAACATTTTATAAATGTTAACTCATTAGACCTTTATAACCACCCCAAAGAGGCAGGCCTACTATTATCACTCTTTTACAGTAAGGAGACAGGAATGGAGAATGAGGACTCAAACTGAGGAAGTTTGGCTCCAAAGTCTGGGACCCTAACCCCTATGTATGGATGAAAGACACTGAGTTGCCTACTTGGTTTCGTTTTGCTGCCTTGGTTCTTGACTTCTGCCTGGTCCCAATGAAGCATCAGGGAATTTGGCAGACCTGAGTCAAGTGCCCATTCTGACTTATTCTCTGTGTAACCACGAACACATCACTTCATGTCTGTGAACCTCAGTTTCCTCATCTGTAAAATGAAGTCATATCTACCTCACAGAGAATGTGGAAATAACATGCGGTTTCTTCCATGCATATGTGGCACATGATAGGCATTCAGGAAATGTTAGTTTCCTTCTACCTTTCTTTGTTATAATTATATTTTTGACCCTTTTGCTCTAATGTCATGGACAGCTTGTCTTACTGCCTATAGGTGAGATACACACTGAAGAGCAAAAAAAAAAAAATCGGTCTGGTCAGAATTTTGTTAGAATTAATGAATAAACAAACTGCTACAGATCTTAGCATTGTAAAGAAGTCTGATGTTTGGGGAATGATGAGATCATGCCAAGCACATCAAACCAGACTTTCAGGATAAAGATGTGGGTTCTGTTTCTATTTATAGTATTTAGTCAGCTACAGTGATGTTGTGTGTAAGCCACTGAGAACACAAACTTTCATGTTAATTACATACCCACATTTCTGTTCTGATGAGCTCCCCTTGTGACCTGGCAGAAGAGGGCACGTCGAGTGCCTCTTGGCCAAAGTTGGTTGGCTGTCCACTGGGTTGGGTGAATTAACCAGGTGTGTGTTTCCTTCCTGGCCGGATCAGAGTACCTGCTCAGAGCAAGTTTGCTCTGTTCCCAGCAGAATGGAAGGTGGCAACTTCCCATTTGTCACAGTTCAGGATTTACTATTATTCATCCTGCTACCTATTATACATTGTGTGCTGTTCCCCTGGCCCGCTCCCAATCCAGTTCATAAATGAGTCTGGATTCTTCTGTTCCTATGGATGGCTCTCCTACCGTCCTTCTGCCTTACCCACATGTTCAAGTCAGTCTGTCTTTCTTTGATTATGAATTTCCAGAGGAGAAGGGCTAAGTTCATCTCTGTGTGTGCATATGGAATACCTTGTGTACAAACTTAGTAAATGCTTATGTACGCGTGGAGATAATGTCTGTTATTTATCCAGGAGGAAGTGTACTACTCTTTAAACCCACAGTCAGATATATAAGAAAGGGAATCAACTCTTCAATGTAAGTGCCATGAGGGACTACCCCAGCATTTAGAGCAGTGCCTGGCACATAGTAGTTGTTTGATAAATATTTTTTGAACGGATGAATAACTCTGGTCTTTAGGTATTTTTCTAAATCTGGTTGCAGTTAACTGGGTTATCCAGCAAGTTGGAAACCTGGAACTAGAGCTTTTATTATTACTATATGTAATCAACAGAAATAAAGACTTGGCAAAAAACTTGGGACATACTTGAGTCCACAGCACTAAAAATAACGATGAACTTGATCTAGAAGCTACTTCAGGACTTCGCTGTGCTTTGGGGTTATCATTCTGTGCGTCAGTAACCATCACGCTGTAAGGAGGAGGAATTTAATAGTGTGCTTTGGTAGGATGCTAAGTGACTCGGAGTTTTCGCTATTAGCCTAGTAGCTAAAAATAATGTTATGTCATTTAATTGCCCAACTTGCATCCCAAAACAGACCAATTTGTTTTGTACTTTCTGGGCCACTTGAAGATATCTCCTGTCATTTTTAAGATAGTTTGTTAGGACAGGTCTTGGGGCAGTACGTTTTGATTGTGCCACTTTTTATTCTTCATGTCAGAGAGAACATGTGCATTGAACAAATACACAGTGGCCAAATAATTTTTAAACCATCTGCATTTTCTTTTACAGATTTGAAGAAAACTCTTGCCGTGTTGTTGGATAATATTTTGCAGCGCATTGGCAAGCTGGAGTCGAAGGTCGACAATCTTGTAATCAATGGCACAGGAACCAACTTGACCAACTCTACTACAGCTGTTCCCAGCTTGGTAGCACTTGAGAAAATTAATGTGGCAGGTAAGAAGGGTCATTCTGCGCCCTGACATGCAGTTGAACCCTGATTTGAACTGGGAAAATAATAAAGAAGCACAGTGGCTCTGATTGGTAAAGATAAATCCCATAAATTTGGTATGGCCTCTGTAAAGCTAAATTTAAATTTAGCTTTGAATAACTGTTAAAATGCTGTTCTAGTCTCATGATGTGTGATAGCTGGTGGTTTCTATGACATATTTCACATAATGAGCGCATGGAATTCACTTTTAATGAGAAGACTCATAGCACGGATAAATGAAATATAGAGGTTATCTCAGAAGCTCATGCCAGTTAGAGTTACTTCTTCTCCATTTTCATCAGACAATTTCAAAAGCCTATTACATATAATAGATTCTATCCTCCCTATTGTTAAAGAAGAGCCTCCATTGCAGAAAATGCCTCCTGCATGTATATTGGAGAAATATAAATTCTGGAAATGGCACTCAGGAAATCAATGGCCCCTGCCTGGTCTTGGGCTGATTCTGTAGCCACTCATGGATGGCACCATGCAGTTCTCACTGGGATTCATTTTTCTGGTCCCTTCTTGAAATTGCATGAAAGAAGAGATTTAAAACAAAAACCAAGTCATACACAGCATGTATTGCCCACAACTCGCCTTGGACCCCCCGTGACACTGCACCTGGGTTGGCCTCCGGGTCTTTGTGGTTGTGCCAGGGCTTGCTCTTGTGTCACAGACCACTGTCGATTCCTAGGGACCCAGCAAAGCAAAGAGCTAGAGGATTAGGATTAGGTGCTTGGGTTGAATGGTTGTGAAGACTCATTCAGTGCTCCTGGTAGGTGGTACCCAGGCTACAGTTAATGGATAAAATAAGTAGGTGGGTTACTTCTGAAATTTTGAGAATCTAGTTTAGTATACTTGCTGGCTGGTTTCTCTCCCCTCCTTTCTTAGAGAAATTCACAGGCTTAATTAGGAGAGATTCCTTTCCCACCTCCATTGTCAAAACATTTAATTGTTTCACATTATGCAAGTTTGCTGTATTACCTGTGTGTTCTTTGCCTTTTAGCAAGTTTTAAATTGCAGCATATATTTCTAATAATCCAAAGTATCCAACCAAACAAAGGTATTAAAAATAACTTTTAATTACAACACAGAGGCAGTGTCATCTAGGCCATAAATCCTGCCTTGCCTGCAGTTTCCAACAGCTTCTGTAATTAGACAAGAAAACCTCCCACTGTGCTGAGCTGCTTATTAATAAACAGAACCCATGCCTCTCTAGCCTCCACTCCTCCACTCCTGTCCCCAATATGAAATGCTATTGGAAAGGTCCTGACTTCATGACAGTTCTGCATTCTCAGTAGTTTTGGAGGTGGGTGGGGTGCTCTGCCTCTAACTTTGCTGCCTCCTACTGCCTTTGACTGGCAGGAACCATGTAAATATGTCTGCTGTCATTCTCTTCCTTGCTACCTCTGGCTGTCCTGTTTGTGAGCCAGGATCTCAGTGAGACTTTCTCCTCTGGGTGCCAAGGCCCAGGGTGCAGAATGGTGGGTAGACCTCCAGGAATGGCATGGGAGGGAGTTGGTGGCTACTTCTTTCAAATGAGATCCCAGCCCTGTGTATTGAGCTAGTGTGCTCAGTTAAATATCTCTTGAGTACATTCCCTGCACCATTGGCTCTGAGTGTGGCTCCTTTAGATATGCCACGGGTCCTCTGTTTTACTAATACTTAAAGATCCAAATCATGTTTTCTTTCCTTTTGGGGAGATGGGAGAAAATTTAGAGTTATACCTTTAATAATTAACCTTATCCTCACTTCTTTGTATGTTTCGTGTGTGTGTGTGTGTGTGTGTGTGTGTGTGTGTGTGTGTGAGAGAGAGAGAGAGAGAGAGAGAGAGAGAGAGAGAGAGAGATCGAGAGATCATGCCTTCAAGATTTTTACTGAAATCTTTGAAGGTAGGCAGGATTGCAGCATAGGGGCCTCATGGAGGAGATACAGACTAGAATTTGATTGTGACCCAGAAAGAAACTTGGTAGGAAGGTGTGGAAACTAACATTTAGCAATCGTTTGGTAATACCAGTTACTGCTCCTGACCTTGGAGGCACATGATTTTATAATACTTAATTTTCTCAGCATCCCTGAGAAGTAAGTGGTCTCACAGGTTTTACTGAGTTTAATTATTTGGGAGAGGGGGAGCTTTGGTACTGTTGGGTTGTCGGAAAAGTCATGACATATTTTTTCTATGTTTTTTGTTGCAAAAATGCGTCATGACTTTTCTGACAACCCGACAGAATCCCCTAAGCTTAGTTTAAGACCTCCTAGAGCCATGTAGAAAAAAGATTATGTTCGTTCCATCTTTCTTGCTTCCATTGGTAAAGTACTGCAAATGGTTGAGTCTGGGAAAATGTGCTATCATTTTCTTAGAGGTTCCAAGAGAGCTGACAGTTTCCTTGGAAATTTAATAACCTCTTTAATAAGGAAGATTTTGTTGTTGATGTTTTATGTTTGAGGGTCTTTTCCTTTGCTTGACCTGTGTATTTTATTTTATTTTGTTTTTATTTTTATTTTTTTTAGCTGAGCCATCCTGCCACCTGTTGGCAGCTCAGCGGCAGCTCAATTCGGGCTGGGAATTGAACTGCTGTTGCTCAGAGCTCGCACTCTTGAGTGAGTTCTTAACCAACTGAGTCACTCGGCCCGCCCTTATTTTGTTTTATTTTTTTTTTAAGTTTTTTTTTTTTTTAACTGGGGAATTGGGGAGGGGAACAGCGTTAGGGAATGGGGGAAGGGGAACAGACAAGATGCTGTCTTTTTGTTCTTCAGTCTACTTGTGGAAGATGTTGTTTCACTGGCCCATGGTGGTATTATCATTGCGCTCTTCCTGGGCAAGGCAGTTGCTCTCCGGCCGTTTGACAGCTTCTCACGGTGGCTCACGGCAGCTCACGAAAGCGCACGCCAGCTGCCGGCCAGCCCCACTGTAGCCTGTGCCATCGTCGGCGACTCACTGTGCCCAGCTCCAGGTTGAGCTGTTGTTCACCATCTTAGCTGTAGAGGGTGCAGTGTCACTGGCCCTCATGTGGGATCTGAACCGGGGTCCTCCTGCTCAGAGCTGGCATCTCAAGCCAACTCCTAACCAACGTGCCACTTGGCTGGCCCGACCTGTGTATTTTTAAAAAAGCCCATCCCTCTGTGTGCATGTGTGTCCCTTCCCTAGACACTGTGTTGGCCGCAGCAGGTATAGATATGAAGTAAAGAGTAAAGTCAACCTCTTTTATTTCTCCCCGAGGTTGAAGGGTCCTTTTCATCTTTTCGAATAACCAACATATGTTTTTTTATTTGTCATGTCTATAGATTAGGATGCCAAAAAGAAGGACAAGAGCATAAGTTCGTAGTCCTAGTTCACTTTTCACCCTTCATTGCATTTGTGCCTCTCTCTGATCAGTGGCCATGCTGCTGGTCCCCACACCCCTCTTGTCATAGCAGGAATGGCTCTTGAGCTGGGGGAGAGTTCATTGTTATTGGGTTTCAATCCTAGTGAAGTTTTTCTTTTTCCCTTTCTGCATTAAGACATGTGGTAATTGCTCAGAAATGTTCTCCCTGGTGTGTCTTTACTGCTTACTCTGGTGTCTTACTGCTCATGATGTTTCTGATTGCTTACTGTTGTGTCTTATTGCTTGCTGATATATCTTCTGGTTGGCTGTAAACTGCCTTTAAATTGGGTACCACAGCAGTTGAAGAAGAACTTCCTAAATTTATTTTCTTTGTAGGGACATTTGTTTGTGCGTGCGTGCGTGCGTGCGTGCATGTGTGTGTGTGTGTGTGTGTGTGTGTGTGTGTGTGTGTGTGTGTGTGTGTGTGTCCCCTCTTTCCTTTCTCTCTTTAGCTGTGTTCTATGTGGCTTTTATCCAAAATGGCTTTTCTTTCCAAATTTATCACTCTTGGGCTTTTTTTCTTATGTGAAACTGAATGTTCCCCTAGAGAAATTTAGGTGGAAATGAACTTTATTAGAATCAAGAATCAGATTGAACTGCATTTTTGAGCACTGTTTATCTTATTGAAGAAGAAGGTGAATCAAAGAAAGGAAAAAACAGATTTAAAAAAAATCCCCACCCTTCCACCAATCACCATTTCTCCAGGTTTACTACTCTGAAAGGACCTGAGTGCGCCTTTGTCAAAATTATGGACTTTCAGAATGATACTTTGGTTTTTCCAGATAGACCCATTCTGCTTTTGTCCAGATTTGTGATTTTAAATTATGAAGTGGAGTGAATAGGATTGAGTCTATGGTTCTTTTTTATATACTAATATGGGGGAAAGGTAAAAAGCAGGGATGTGTGATAATGAAAATGCTTGCCTTCTGAGGACGGAAAACGTCTGCTTTTATCCTTGTTTTGCCCATGGTGCCTTGTTCCAAGCCGACCTGTTGAAGGTACTCAATAAATCCTGCCCACATGGATTGGATTATGCTGGAGGGGAGAGCATTTGGCTTTACTTCTGAAAGGGTGTCTTATAGTTTCTCTTCTTCGTTTCCACTTATGGGGATTTGCTCCTAAGTGGGACTTGCTAACTCATTTCCCTTTCTCAGGCCTCAGCAGACTCCACCTATGCAGCAGGACTCTGTGTTTATCAGTCATGGCTGAGCTTCCCTTGGATGATTCTGTGCCATAGAGTCTTCGTAGAGCTTGATGGTTACAACTCTAGATGAATATTTGGGGGATGGGGACACGTTGCCCAGCTCTGTGCTGCATGCAGAAGGGGAAAGGAGAGCACAAGCTTGTGCACAGGTGCGCTCACTCCCATTCATTTATACTCTTCAAAAACCAGTTGTTGTCATTCAACGTCAGCTGAATAACCAGCCAGCATTGGGGGTTTGCTAAAAGGCAAAACGTAAACCTAGCATCCCCTTTGTGTTAATGATGACTTACAATTGCAAGATCAATTGGGAAACACAATCACAAAATCAAAGGTGCAGGCACCATTCAAGTGGCTGTTCTCTGGCATTTAGTCCAAATTGAACCTTAGGTGATCCTGC